TCTGTGATTTTCAAATAAATACAGTATTCATTTTCAGATCGAACAAAATTCATGCTTAGCATCAAATCATTGAACTTTTTATACCAATTCTTTGGTGATGTTTTTAAGCCGTACAGGGATTTTCTTAGCTTTACTACCTTTCCTTCCAAAACATCAAAATCTTTGGGCAATTTTATATAGACATCTTCAGTGATGTCCCCATTCAAAAATGCATTACATACATCCATTTGGAAAATTTGATAGTTAAAATTGTTGCATAAAGCTAAAAAAATCCTAACAGATGGCAATTTGGCAACTGGGGTGTAAATGTCACAATTATTAATATTATACATACCAGATTGTTGAAAGCCTCTAGCTACCAACCTTGCGTTATAAGTTGTTATATTACCCAGTTCGTTTTTCTTCCGTTTAAACACCCACTTGCAGTCGATTATCTTGTCTTTAATGTCTTATTTGTTCACCAAAAACCAAGTTTCATTCTCTTCTAATGCACTTATTTCTGCTTGTATGGCGTCTTTCCATTTTCCACTTTCACTACTGGCCATTGCATCTTCATAACACGTCACTTCATCTTCATCGCACATTGACACTAACACTTTATCCAGATCCATTTCAAAGTCATTATATCTTGGGTTTGGTCTTCTTGCTCTTCTTAAATTATATGGACTGTTTATTATTTCATTATTTATGTCTGATTCATCACTTCCTACATCCTCATAATTTAGGTCATTTTCACTAATTTTGGGCAAGTTTCTGTCATCTTGGTCAGGATTTTCATTTATTTGCATGTGTTCAATATGATCTTCAATTCTTTCTGTGTTTTCTTCGGGCATCAGAACTTTTTCTTCTAGTTTTTGTATCAAATTTTTCTTTTCGGGCAAAAATATTACATCACGATGTGTCTCCACTTTTTTCGTTTCGGGAAAAAATACCCTGTATCCCTTTATATCCTCTCCATATCCCAGAAAAATACCGTTTTTGCATCCCATTTTAACCTTTTTTGTTTAGGTAGATGCACAGACACTGTGTTGCCAAAAATTTTGAAGTTGTGTACCTCTATATTATTTTTATGCCAAAGTTTATATGGATTTTCTGCTCCTTGTGGGCTTGGACCTGTTCGATTTAATATGTATGTTACGGTGTTGATAGCCTCAGCCCAAAAAGATTTATCCAACTTCTCAGTACTACTTAGAAGTGTTCTTGCAGCTTCAACTAAAGTGCGATTTTCTCTTTCTGCACGACCATTTTGTTGTGGTGTATAGACTACCGTTCTCTGATGTCTTATTCCCTTTCTTTCTAACAAATTTGCAACTGCTTTATTCACAAATTCCAAGCCATTGTCTGTTCTTAGAACTTTCATTTTGCAGCCTGTTTCTCTTTCTGCCAAGTTTATATATTTTTCTAGAAATGTTTTTACTTGGGATTTGTTTTGCAAAAAATAAATATATCTATAGGCAGAAAAGTCGTCTTTTAGTAAAAGAAAATATCGGGAGCCGCCTAAAGATATGGATTCCATACATAGGTCTGCATGCACCAATTCCAGCATTGTGGTTTTTTGGTGTGCCAACTTGTTATGCCATTCCACTATGGTTTCTATTTTATTGACTTTCATGCAAAAAGGATCATCTTCATAACTATATTCTTGTGGAGTATTTTCATTTGCAAAACAGGTGGATGTGTTATACTCTGTTTTATTCACTGACGTAAAATGCATTTTATAGAGTTTATTCACTCTTGAAGCTAGTGCCCTTATGTTGCCAATTTTATCAACAAATTCACATTTTCTATGATCTGACCTCATATAGTATCCTTTGTCAAGAGCACAGCCTGCAGAAAATAAATTGAATTTCAACTCAGGCACATATAAGACATCTGACAATGTTGTTTTCAATAATTTTTCACCGTTATATGCCCATACTGTGACTTTCCCTATGCCTTTAACCTCCAGTGTTTGACCATTTCCTACTTGAACTAGCCTTTTCATTTTTAGTTTATTTATATTTTCAAAACAATTTTTGTCCCATGACATATGCTCACTTGCACCAGTATCTAAGCACCAGGCCCTGCGATCTTTCATTGCCAGTTATAAACCACATAATAACTCTTTTCCGTTTTTCTAGATGTCGCTGACAACCACAGAATTGTCAAAATTGTAAAATACCAGCACATCAAGAACACGTCCGATGTCGATAACTGACATGTCAACATATGACAATATGCCAAAATATTCATTTGATCATAACTAATAATCCATAATTTTTTTTGTTCGCCGGTCTTGCATTTCATCTTTCTTTGTGTTGTCCCAGTGTTCTTAAGTGATTTCAAAGTTGTTTTGTGTGTTTCAAGAAGAACTTCAAACTTTATAGATTGGAAGATCTATTTTTATATTTGTTGATTGGATAAATGACAGTTGAACATCAAACAGAACTTTGAATAAATATGTTAAGGATACCCTTAAACATCGATAAAGAAACTGTCTTTTGATCTAATTAACAAATTATTTATTAATTTAAGCAAACATTAATGTCCCAAAGTCTAGAATAAACGAATTTGAACAGACCGATAGTAATGCGAACAGGGCGCCATCTATCATAAAAAGTCCTATGTAAAGTAGGTGTCTGTAGCATCGATGCAAAACCAGTAAATAGTGATTTTCCGATATGGTAGATGGCGCTGGCTTGGCTCAATTTTGTTGACAACAAAATTTAAAATCTGTTTTTTATTTAAAGATAAAAGTCAAACTGACATTATGTTGGCAATACAATGTAAAATTGTCAATGCTTTCAAATTTTTTATGTAGAAAAGGCTTGTGTTGCCAACAAAGTTACTAAATTTTTGACTTGGGGAATTATCTTTAAAAAAAAAAACAGACTTTACACTGAGATTCCATTCTCGACAGTTTATATAGTATTTATCTCTGCTAAGCACCAATCATTTGTTTTTTGTTTTCCTGCGGAAACCATAAATGCATTTGTGTCTGCTTCGTTATTTGGTTGTTTTGAACACCTTTCTTTGCCTTTCTTCAACCAGCAAGTTTCTATGTTATGGGTTTTCTTCTTACAAAACTTACAAAACTTCTTATTAACAGAGTTTTCAGATTTATCTTCTGTCGTTTTATTATTTTTATTTCTGAAGTAGCAATTTCTAGCAAAGTCACCAAGCTTAGAACAAATATGCCACCGTAATCTTGTTTGATTTTTATTGTTGGTCTTTGCATTTAATGCAGTTGCATTTTCTTGAGATTTGAATCTTTCTTCCTCTAGCAAAAGTCGAGATGTCAGCTCTTCCAGATTTTGATTGTCTGAAGGTACTGATTCCCAAGCAGATCTAAAATGTTTAAATTCTTCTGGAAGGGACATGAGTATTTTTGTGATTATCATTTTTTCTGATAGAGTCTCACCTGCTGCTCTCAACTTGGCTTTTATTTCCTCAATATGGGATATAAACTCTGACACTGAGCCTTCAAATCCTAAGGAGAAGAATTTTTGTTGCAGAAGATGAATGCTTACCGTGGATTCTCTGTCATACACAGTTTTCAGCTTTTGCCACATGTCTTTGGCTGTTTCACAAGACAAAATATGTGTTAGTGGGCTTTGCTCCATTCGAGTGACTAGAAGCTCTTGGGCTTTGGCGTCATCCTTCATCCATTTCGTAAGATCATCCACTGATTGTGTGGGTTTTATTCTTGTGCCATCTACTATCGCGTAGTAGCCCCGGCTTTTTAAAATTATAGCCGTTTGAAATTTCCACACAGGCCAGTTATCTCCAGTTAATTTTAAGGTTGCAACTGAATTCGCCCATTTCTCAAATTAATTTTTTTTTAATTTTATTTTATGTCACTTACTTTTTTTTTTATTAATGCCGACAAAAATCAGTTCCGTTTTTATGCTTCACGCGTGTCCTGGGCCCATAACCTCTTGTATTTATAAGCGTAGCAATAACTAAACTTGCGGAAACCGATTATTTGATCTATTTTATTAGTTTTTTAACATTTTATGACACATTACTAACATATTTGACATTATCAGTAACAACTGACTTTTAATAATATAGGCCACAGAACATATCACCTATAGAAAAATATCTCAAATGGGAGAATCGCGACGAAGGTTTTTAGTTAGGTTTTCAGTCAACGATGGCGACACTGTCAAGAGATAAGAGAAATTTACAGGTATCTGTGGTGTGGACAGTGATTTGTGTTGGTTGGTTTTGTCATTTATTTTGTCATTTTAAAAGTCAAAATTTGAATTTTTAAATTGTGTTGGTGTACCTCACGGTCCCCACGCGCGTTAAAGTGAAAATTCAAAAAGTTTTCTGTGGTTTTGGTTGAAAAAACCCCTAATTTTTGTTCGTATTTTTCTGTATTTACTCGTTTGTTTCGTTTCGTTCGTATTTGTATTTATTATTCTTATTTGCTTTGCGATCTACCTATAGCTGCGTGTCTCTTGCTAACTTACTAACTCTTTTTGCACTATGTTCGACATCGGAAACTTCCTGCTAGTCATAGTTTTCAAAAAAATGAGGCGAAAAGAGCTAGAAGGAGTCAGCAAGCCAAATGCAGTTGAACATTAAAAATTATTTAAAAATAATAAAAATACCTATATGAAAAAAATCAATTCGCCTTTTTGTCAAGAATGTTGTGGTTTTAATTGGTGAATTGTGCTTCTGTTCTGTTCTTGATCCACGGAGTGTTGAAAGAACTTAGAAAACGCCAAGAAATTACCTGTTTTTATACAAAATATATAAAACAATATATTTCCTAACCCCCAACCAGCAACATGGCAAACAAATGTTATAAATGCAATTTGGATTGTGTTTTTAAGGAAGATAAGACAAATTCAAATCTTTTTGGCTATCCTTGCGATGTATGTAGCAGGGTAATATGTCAAAACTGTAATAAAACACAGGCCCAAGAAGTGAGAGTGATACCAAGTCAAACTCAAACATTGGTTCATATGTGCCCTGAATGTCTGCAAGACCTCAAAAATGTGCCAAAGCTAATGAAATTGGTGAACAATTTTAAAACAGAGCTAAATACGCTTAATGGTAAAGTTGCAGCATTGGAATCTAGAATTGACACAGTTGGACAAACGGATGAAATAGAACAAATGGCCCAACTTGGGAAAAAGATTGCTGAAGTGAATGCTCATGATACCCGTTACAGGGATACTGCGACTAATGGCAAAGATGAAACTACTGATATCATTAAGCAATACTTGCATGAACAATCGGAACAACTAACAAACAAACTGGATTCTGTTGTGAGTGCCATCAAGAGCGCGAATAAGGATCTTGTAAGCTTTTTAACCACATCAGATCACTTTCAAGCACAAAATAAAGCACAACCTAAAAAAGATGTACTAGTTTTGAAAAACAATAGTACTGAGGAAAATAAGGCTTTGAATAATAAGATGCAGCCTACACTAGAAGTAAAAGCTTCAAGTGGATCAAACTCTGCGTCTGGAGCTAGTGGTAGAATTTGTTCTGGGCCTGAACGTCCTAGTCTAAAAGTGGCGAATAAAAACATAGGTGAAAGAATGGTAAAACTTAGTTGGGTTTATCTCTCCAATCTAGATATTGAAACAAAACCAGATGATATTCTGGCTGTACTCGACCCTAAGTTTACTCATATTTACCAATGTCATAAACTACCCTCAAGATTTGAAAATCCAAATAGTGCAGCCTTCAAACTGGGTATTCCTGAAGAACTGGAAGAAAAGTACCTTTCCACGAACTTTTGGCCTGATGGCTGTGTTGTTGGCCGATATAAAAATGTGGGTCAGGACAATCATGGAAGACCCAAAGGCTTTTATCGGACCCATAAAAATTTTTCACAACCAATGCATCACCAAAAGTGGAAGTAGAGATGCCAAATCACAGTCAGTCCTCGTGTGAACTACCTAGCACAGATATTGATGTAAGCTCTCTGAAAATTTTTCATATAAACCCCTGGTCGATCTGCAATAAATTTTCTGATATCAAATATTATATTCTCCAATCTGATTTTGACATTGTTGCAATTTCGGAGACATGGCTAAATACCGACATACCCTCTCATTTATATGCTATAGAAAATTTTACATTATACAGAAACGATAGGACTGGTAGGGGAGGGGGTGTTGCAATCTATGTTTCCAGTAGGTTGCACATAGTGTCAATCATAACTCCAGATATGGATAATGGAATAGATGTGCTCTGGGTTACCTTTAAACACAACAAACTGTGTGCTAGTGTGGGTGTTGTTTATCGCCCACCTTCTGTTCCATATGCAGGGTTACAGTTCCTTTATGATATGCTACCTGATATAATTTTTAAATGTGATATATGTGTGTGTATGGAAGATTTTAATATAAATTTTTTGCCTCAGGCTGGTGTGGATTATACATTTCTCTGTGATATTTTTACTTCATTTAATTTTAGTCAACTAATTAAAGATGCAACTAGAATTGCGCCAAACCATGAATCTCTAATAGATTTAATTTATGTAAACAAACCTGAACTGATTATCGATGGTGGCGTGGTACCATGTGACCCTATACAAACCGACCATGAGGCTGTTTATTGTTCTTTGAAGTTTGAAAAGCCCAGACATGTTAATAAGATTGTAGAAAGTAGAAGACTAAAAATGGCACACACTGAGCAATTTCAGGCAGAATTACGGAATATAGATTGGCATAACCTTTATGTTTCTTGTGATATTGATGTTAAGGTCCATATTTTTAATAGAAGTTTCTTAGATTTGTTTGATGTGTATTTTCCTCTCAAAAAAATTGAACTGAGGAAATCAAAACCTCCCTGGCTTACATATAATTTTAAAAAAATGATTGAACTAAAACATAAAGCATTTTCTAAATATAAAACAATAAGGTCTTTTGAAAGTAAACAGTACTACCTTCAGCTAAAAAATTATATAGCTCATGCAGTTAAGGCCGAAAAAAAGGCATATTTTTCAAAAGAATTAAATGAATGTACCGGTACAAATAAAAGCAAGCTAATTTGGGATAAAATGTCAAAACTGAATATTACACCTAAAAAGACTAAAGATATTCTAAATAATTTTAGAGAACCTAATGTAATAAATAATCACTTTTTGGATAATATACCTCAAACTAGTGTTGATCCAGAAGTCTTAAATTGTTTCCTCGGTTCAAATGCGGATTGGGAGCCATTTCATTTTAACCTTGTGACTGATGATGATATTTTAGCATGTATTAAAAGTATTAAAAGTAATGCCATTGGCGTGGATCAAATGTTAAAAGTTTGTTTACCATATTGTCTGGGGCCACTAGTAAATATTATAAATTTTTCCTTACAAACTGGTATGGTACCAAGCATCTGGAAAATGGCTCTCATCACCCCACTTCCTAAGGTAAATAATCCTTCGGGCGTTAATGAATTGAGGCCAATAAGCATACTGCCTGCTGCCTCAAAAATTCTTGAGAAGGTGGTTAAATGTCAGATTGTGCAGTTTTTGTCTCTTACAAATATACTACCAAAATTTCAGTCTGGTTTCAGATCACATTATAGCTGTGCCACTGCCTTACTTAGAATAACTAGTGACATTTCGGCTACTTTTGATCAGTCACATTGTTCACCATTGTTGTCCCTCAGTTTTGGTAGACATGACTAAAGCATTTGACAGTTTAGACTTAAATCTTCTATCTGCAAAATTACAGTATTATAACATTGGGGAGCAGGACTGGCTCAGAAGTTACCTTTGTGAGAGACAGCAGGCAGTTAGACTGGCTGGGGTTGAAGGAGTGATGCTGTCTGATTGGAGGGTTGTGACGAGGGGAGTACCACAGGGATCTATTCTCGGTCCACTTTTTTTCACAATCTTCGCATCAGATCTTGTAGATCGAATATCTCACTGTAAATATCACATGTATGCAGATGACCTTCAAATTTATCTTCCAACATCCCCGGCTGATCTTTCTGACACTATTGAAATGATCAATGTAGATCTACAAAATATATCAGAATGGACTTCTGATAATTCTCTTCTTATAAATCCCAACAAAACACAAGCTATACTGTTTTCGCGGACCAATATTGATTTATCTTCTCACCATATTACCCTTAATGGTGTTGCAATTGAATGGGCCGATGAAGTGAAGAACCTCGGACTATATATGGACAGAAAACTTTCATTTAACTCACATGTTAGTAATATATGCCAAAGATCATATTACAAATTAAAACTTATCTATGAATTCAAAAACACTCTTTCATCTAATGTTAAAAAACTCTTGACTGAAAGTTTGGTGCTGTCTATTCCGGGGTATCTAGATGTTGTTTACGGGCCGTTCCTTACAAATCTCAATAAGTATAGAATACAAAAAGTGCAGAATGCTTGTGTGCGGTACGTGAGATGTTTGTTTAGAAGGGAACATGTAAGTAACCATGTTGTTGAAGTATTTGGGCATGGTATGGCTCAGAGACGATATATTCATCTGGGATGCCAAATACACAAAACTTTGAAATTGAAAGAACCTGCATATCTAACCGAGTTAATAATTCAGCGAGGTGATAGGCACCAGGTGAATGTTCGTTTCAGAGATGCCATATCAATTCCAGATCATCGTACCGAAATCATGTTTCACATATCTGTCTGCCCAGATTTACAACTCCCTTCCTCATAATTTCAAGGGTCTAAGTGTTTATTCTTTTAAAAATAATTTAAAACGCTTTGTGTCGGATAGATCACTCAGTCTTTAATTTTAAATTGGTGCCTACTGCTAATTCAAATCAAATCAAATCAAAATATGCTTTATTGTCTAAGTAGATAAACTCTTATTGACAAAGCTGAATACTATAAATAGATATTAATATAAAAACAATATACAATAAATTAATAAAATTCACATACAATCAATAATAATAATAATACTAGTAATACTAACAACAATCCAGGACTCAGAACATGAATAAAAAAAAAAATTCAAATATCGAACACATATTTTTTTTTTTTGAATGGAACAATACAAAAAAAAAAAAAAAAAACCACCACACAGAAGTCGCAAAATTATCTAATTAACTGTGGAGAGCAGGGCAGGTTGAAATAAAAATAAAAACTAAAAACTAAAAAATAAAAAACTGAAAACTCAGGACAAAAACTTATTATTTAAAAGTCATCACAGTAAAATTCATGGAGACTATAATATGGCCTCGACATGAGAAATTGTTTTACACTTTTCTTGAAAAATTTATCATCCATCATCATTCTGTATACCAAAGGAATGTGGTTATACATTTTTATACTTTCAAATATAATTGAATTTTTGGTAAGTGTCGTCTTAGGAATAGGCAATGAAAGACCATTGCTACGAGTATTGTAAGGATTTGTTGAGGAGCAGTATTTGTGTTTTTTGTGTATCAGACACACTGTCTCCAAGATAAAGATACCTATTACTGTCAAAATCCTTCCATCAACAAATAATGGCTTGCAATGCTCTCTTGCTCTTACCTTAAATAGATAACGCACAGCCCGTTTTTGCAAAACAAGAATTGAGTTCATCAGCTGCTGGGTGCAGAACCCCCAAAACGCTATTCCGTACCTCAAATGAGATTCGATCAGTGAGTAGTAAACAGTTCGAGCCATGGGTAAACCCAATTCCCTGGAAACTATCTTCACTGCAAAACATCCTGCCGCCCGTTTCTTATTCAAAGATTGTACGTGTTCATTAAAATTCAGTTTATCATCAATAAACATGCCTAAAAACCTGGCAACAGGTCTGTTTTCTATAAAACTATTTTCAAAATTTAAATTGTCGCAAACAAATTTAAAACTTAGGATGCTAGTCTTTGATATATTGAAACATAAAGAATTTGCCCTACACCACTCATTTACCCTACCCAAATCGTTTTCGATAACCACCCTTAAATCATCAGCCTCTCCTCCATGCCACAAGATTGTTGCATCATCTGCGAATAGTGTGAATTTACCCTGAATGAGGATTTTCGACAAGTCATTGATGTATACAAGGAAAAGGAGTGGTCCGAGGACGGAACCCTGTGGGACGCCAGATTTCAAACTTGACACGTTGGAGCACTGACTCCCCACCTTTACCATTTGCTCTCTATCAGAAAGATATGTTGCCAACCATTCCAAGGCCACCCCCCTTACCCCACATCGTTCTAGCTTACTCAAAAGCACTGCATGATTTACACAGTCAAAGGCTTTGGATAAGTCGCAGAATATAGCCGCTGCGACATCACCATTATTAAGCCTGGTATAAAGGTCTTCCAAGAAGGAAAAAATTGCGTCGTTCGTTCCCTTTGAAGCTTGGAATCCAAATTGACAGTCAGATAGAATTTTGTCGCGCTCAAAATATTCTGTCAATCTTTTCTTAACCAGTTTTTCAATTATTTTGGACAGAGTCGGCAATAGAGATATGGGGCGAAAGTTAGATGGTATATCTGGGTCTCCACCTTTATAGAGAGGTAAGACAATCGCAGTTTTAAGACAGGATGGAAATATACCACTGTTAAACGAATCGTTTATTACACTTACCAAAACCCTCATGGCATTATCAGGTAAGTTTTCAAAAATTCTGGGTGAAATATCATCAAGTCCAGATGAGTTTTTATTCCTTATTAGCGTAACAATACTTTTAACTTCAGTGACATCAGTCTCAAACAAAACAAAAGAGTTCAGCACAGGGTCGGCATTAAAAAGACTTAGAGGATCAACGGGTATTTTTACCTTCCCAGCCAAGTCATTTGCCACTGAACAGTAAAAGTGATTTAAGACGTTGAGATCCATGTTTAATTGAGTTTGTATTTTACCATTCTTCCCTCTCAAATTATTGACAATATTCCAACTTTCCCTTGCTTTGTTTTTTGAGCTACTTATTTGATGTTTATAATGGATTTCTTTTGCCAGTTTTATAGTCTGTCTATATATACGTCTATAATTATTAAAAAAGATAAGAAAATTGTGATTGTCAGTAAATTTCCTTATAGTATGTAGCGATTTAAGATTTTTTGCAGAATTTTTTATGCCCTGCGTTATCCATGGCTTTCTACATTTATGTTTAATTGGCCTTACAGGAAAATTTTTATTAAAACTATCAACTAATACAGAGTAATAAGCATATACAGGATTCTCACAATCCAGAACGCTTTCCCAATTGGTTTGCCTAGAATGCTCCCTAAAGCTATTAAAATTTCTTGTACTATATATTCTACCAAGCCTATTCTCTCTTTTCTCAATTTTAAACCTGACCGGAAATTTCATTTGTACTGCTTCATGGTCAGATAATGGGGCAGGAATAACAAAACAATCAGAAGCATCGCAGTCAAAATTTGTACAGACATAATCTATCACAGAAGCGCTGAACCTAGAAACACGCGTGGGCTCTTTAACTAACATATTTAAATTAAAAGAACTCAAAAGGTTATTTAGTTCTTGGGTCTCCCAATTTTTGTTTAAGAAATTTATATTAAAGTCGCCGGCCAAAACAATTTTGCTATTCACTGAAAAATTTTCCAATAGAATTTCTAAACCATTCAAAAACTCTCTTACACTGCCACTTGGTGGCCTATAAACACAAATTAAATAAAGTTTAAATTTCCTATTGCACGCAATACAGAACTCAAATTGACCCTCAATAACCAGATCATTATACTCTACAAGGTTATCTGCAGTAAAATTATTAAAAAAAGTTTCATTTATTAAAATCATTGTGCCACCATATCCAGTAACACTTCGTCGGCAGAATTTAGAAAGCACAAGGTTATCCGGAATATAAAGTGGTTCATCACACCTCAGCCAGTGCTCAGTTAAAAATATGAAATTAGGCCTACCCTGGTTCTCCACAAATATCACAAACTCGTCAATTTTATTCCGAATAGATTGAATGTTAAGTAACAATAAAGAGGCCTCACCACTAAACTCGAATGCCTTATCTAAAGATAACCTGTCATGTTTGTCAATAGTTACTCTACTCATGTTTGCATCAATTTGCCTAGGCTCGTTTCTAAAAAATTTTTTTTACAATTTTTACAATAATTCTCAGTGCACTTTAGAACCTCAACCCCAACTGGCTCCACATTCACGCCAACCTGATCACAAGTTAAATTAAAATTTGATTTTTGATTTATTATCAATTTTTGCAAACTCTCCGCAACTTTAACCATGCCTCTATATTTAATATGTAAACCCCCCTTCAACACAAAATGATGCGAGTTCAAAAGAGAATTAAAGTGAAAAAATGTACCTACGTTTTTTTCTTTGAATACATTATAATACATCATTTTATTGTGTTCATTGATGTACCTATTTAAAAGCCTATCCTCGTTCCACAGGGGCACTGAGAAGAGGATTAAATTTGTGTGTTTCCTGACATTTTTAAGATTTTGTAAAGTTTGCTCTTGTACCCTTAAACCCCTCAATACATTCATTGTGCCACCTATAATGATTAAATAATCGTTCTTTGTATAATTCTTTGCCAGCTCTGTCATATTCTCTATTACATCGTCTATAACAGCATAATTCTTAATCACAGAACAAACATTAAAATTTTCACTTACATAACGGTCCAAAACAGCTCTAAATTCTTGTCCAAGATTATCACTCAAAATAAGAATATTGTTTTTTTTTTGTGGCTGTTTTACCCCTATTGTTCTTCCTTTTCTGCTCTTTCATACCTTCACTCATAGCACAGTGCTTAACTTCTTGAATCTCTTTCTGGTATGTTTGATTATCCTCTTCCAATACTCTTATAGTTGCAATCTCTCTATTTGTTTCCATCAGTTGCTGCAGTCTCTCTCTGAATCCATTACATTCCGCTGAACAAGATGTTATCTGACCTTCCAACTTCCTGTTCTCCTCCTTCAGACAATCTATTCCCCTTTCCAATTCTTGAATATTTGCCTCCATATGTTCTTTTGTCTCCTGCCATTCTTTTTCCTTCACCGACTGATCCTTTTCCTTGTTCTTTAAGATTTGAATTTCTGTGTTTAGTATAGAGTTCCGCTCCTGCCAATTCTTCAATTTCTTATTAAGTTCTTCTTCAGCATCAAATACTGCACTTTCAAAAGAGACGCTACTACGCTTAAGTTTTTCAATATAACGATCTTTAGAATTTAATTCCTTTTCCAGGTTTGCGATTTTCTCCTTGTATATGTTTTGTTTCTCCTCTCTCTCATCATTCTTTGATTGACAGCTTGCAGAACAGAAAATTCTGTATCCATTCAATTTCACGACCTCAGACTGCCGATCCATGCAGCTTTGATGCAGTATTGCATAGCATGTTATACAACTATAACTCGAAAAACTTTTTTTACAACATTTAAAAATTCGCTCCATGCTCAAACAGCTAGCGGATGATATGTCGCCGGTGATGCGAAAACTCTTTTTACAATAATCAGTGTGTTTACGTTATCAGTAGGATTCCTCGGAATTTATTTGTTTATTTCTATCCATTGTTCACTATTGTTTTTACTTTGAATGCCAATTACGCGCAAACTATACCTTTTAAGAAAACACTACTTTGAAAAACTAGTTAGGTATGTTATAATTTACTTCTTATGAAAAAATCAATGAATTTGGAATATTATATCTTATCGAAAGTTGCTTTGTGATGCTGGACCTTTTTTTTTGTGATTTTTGTTTTTATTATTATTTTTATTTATTGTAACTATGTTGTTAATTTTAACTTCTAATTTTAAGTATATGTTTAAGATTTTATTATTATAGCAAAGGGTGGTTATTAAAATACGCCTGGCGGTACTTTCCACCTTTGTATGGTAATTTTTACATGCAATAAAGATTATTTTATTTTTTATTTTTTTATTTTTTTACAAGGTTTACCATTGACGTTACAGGTATACCTATAATACAGGTGTACCTTTAATAGGATTGCTTTTTTTTCGAATTTTTAATAGAATTTGAGCTCCAGTTATGATTGATTCTTTTAACTAGCTGAGCGCCACAAGGCAACTAGCTCTACTAGGCAGTGATTGGTTTTTCAATCGTTTTGCATGTTTGTCAATGTTGGGTGTCGGGGATATACTAAATATTTAGTAAGGGGTAATTATTTAATAAACCGCCAACATATATTTTATGTAATGAACCATTTTTTTTTTTATATAGGTATTTGCTTATAAATCATTTGCACCAAATAATTTTAGTTGAAAGGTTAAAACTACATATCTGTTTAGACACTAATTTGATCATATTGTAAAAAGTTGGGGATATATGAAACTGTTACCGCATTTTGGTATAAATTTTGTTATTGATTAGCACAAAATTACCTCTAATGTTTGTAGGATAAAATGTATCACAAAATCGCTTGCAATGGGGCCTTGTTCGATAAAATAAACGCAAAAACTACCAAAGTTGGGCTCAGCCTTGATATGGGTCAGTTGTACTTCAATTTCCTGTTTTCTGGCATTGGACGAGTAGGGATCGTGGAATTCTTTAAATAAATTTTCTAGGGCTCTTAAAATATCGTTTTCATTCTGAAATTATCATAAGTTGAAAAAGGGGCAAAAGAGGCCTAGAGGTTTTTTAGGTTAGAAAATACAATAAAATAAACTTACCATATTATTATTATTGAATTGAATTCCAAAGTAAATTTTTAATTTCTGTAAAGGGAAATTATTATAAAATTAAAAGGATTTGTTTATTATTATTTTTTTCACTGATTGATAAGATCCTTTGAAAATTTTACAGGGGCCCCAATGCCAATATTGCGGTGTTGCTTTCAAAAAAATCACCAGTGGCAACATTGTAAAAATACAAAATTACAGATTCCTACTAATTTTGTTACTTGAATATTATTATTTTTTTTTGTTAATATAATTAATCCATTAAATTATAGAATCAAAAACATTTTAAATTATATAAATAATTATTATAAAAAGCTACCCTATTACGTGTTTATTCTTCACCATTTTATGTCGGTCATTGTCATTTTCCATACACTAAACAAAGATAGCTAACTCATCGGTTAAATTACTATTTAATAACTAGTGCTACGTTGCCAAATGTATAATATAATTTTGCAACCAGAATTCCTTTTTTATTATTTATTAGTTTTCAATTTTTGTTTATTCTAGCCAGGCTCTTGAAACTTTATTTTTATTTAAATAAAAACATTCTCAAAAAGCTTAGAAATAGTGAAAAAATTAAACAGCTTATTGCCATGTTGCCAAATGTAAAAACAATTGTCACTGTCAACGAATCAGAATCAGCTGGCAATCATTTTAAATTTTTTCCAAAACCTCTATAGAAGACTTTTAAACAAAATCCCTATAAAAAAAAAGGTATTTAATAATCAAAACTCAGCCCCAAAAAACCCCACTGTAATTACACACAATTCACTAGTTAATTTCTAGGTTATGCCAATGTTTTGTTGTTATATAATTCCAGATTCAAAATATGCTCCGTACAGCCTTAGGCAAAGCCCTAAAAGGGGCGCAACTTAGCCCCAAGCACGCTCGGGTTATGAGTCAACAACCGAAAAAGCCTGAACAAATCGAAGTATTCATCGACGATATTCCAGTAAAAGTCGATCCAGGAACGACAGTATTACAAGCAGCGGCAATGGTAGGAGTGGAAATACCCAGGTTTTGTTATCACGAACGATTGGCGGTGGCTGGGAATTGTAGGATGTGTTTGGTCGAGGTGGAGAAAAGTCCTAAGCCTGTGGCTGCTTGCGCTATGCCAGTAATGAAAGGTAAAATAATTTGTATATGTGCCAGCAACAAGAGTTTAACAATTGATTAGTTTATGATAATATGTCTTTATGTATTTATTCTCGAAATATACTACAGACAGCTTCAAATAAATCTAATAAGCAAAAGAAACCTTCACAAGCTGCAGTAAATTCTTCCTATCTTCCTACTGCTGCTAAATAAGATACAATGCACTATAGGTTTGTTCGAGGGTTTGTTCGCACCACAGCGACCTGTTAGTTGAAAATAGTTAGAAAACTAGTTTTAACCAGTTAAATTCACTCCAATGTAGTGACAGTAAATTCCCAGGAATTTATTTTTTGGGAATATTCCTTGGAAATATTCCCAAGAATGTTTTCAAAATGGGAATTTTCTGTTTTTAGTGAAAACCCCTATTTATATGGGTAGAGTTGTAGAGTATGTGTCAAGTGTGCAATAAAACAACTATTTGATGATAAGTCAACAGCTTTATCTATTTCAAAGCTGAAAAAAATGAAACAAACGATCATTGAATAAGCATAAAATTCAGAAACAAACCAAATATTACTAAACCAAGCACTAAAAAGTTTATAGGCAGAGAAAAAAAAAACTGATGAACACACGCTCTCAATAGGTACCTAGGTATACAAAAAAAAAGGAAAAATAAATTAAGCTTCTATACCAATAATTATTATGTAGAAAAATAATTCACAAAATCTGTGACATGTATCTTATCGTCATTAGGTTCAGATCCAGAAGAATCACTACTCACGCTCTCAATTTCTTGTTGTTTGTTGTTCACACTCACCAAATAGTGCGGTTTTAATATCCTGGACTCCGCACAAAAATAAAAAATAAATTCCCTGTAAAGGAAATTTATTTAACCTTGGACCAATATTCCTGGAAAAATTCCCATTTTAGAAAATTTCTAAATTGGGAATATTCCCTTTGCCCATCACTACTCCAATGGCAGCAAATATAAAGTTAAGTTCTCCAAAATTTTGTAGAGGGCGCAAGTGAAATTGGAGTGCTTCAAATTTTGGCGGTAAATGTCAATAGTTTTAATCCATCTAAGTTGAGTAGTAAGGAAGATAAGGGCGTACCCAGCGAGGGGCAGGGCTAAAAAAATTTATAAATTATAAAAAGGCTCCGCTAAGTGCAGAAAATAAAAAAATCAAAATAAACCACTATGGTTTTACTAAAAAAATTACAAACCCGAAAAATATACTACTAAATACTACTAAAATATATTCATATACCTACGTAAGTCAAACGCAGCGCACTGCACAGCCTACTAGATTTGCAATTAGCGGAATTAGCAAAGAAATATGAATTTTCTATTACGATCCTGGCCCCTGCGAATTTGTTGTATTGTGTTGTTTTTCTAACGGAATTCGATTATTTGCACAAAATTTCCTCGAAATTGTGAAATCACTTGAAAAACTATCTATCGAAGGAAACTACGCCACGAGAAAATCTGCGTACCAGTTGCATGCCGCCGTTACCAAACCCTCACTAATTGTTGCCCTAACTATAATTGCAAAATATTCAGCTTTACTGGAGCCGGTTGTTAATGCCTTGCAAGCAAAAGCTATGGATTTAATTAAGTTTCAAGAACATCTGAACGTAATCCTTAACGTTCTGAAGAAAAACCGTGAAGATGCCGACCTAGTTATTGATGAAGTACTTAAAAAAGCACAAGACTTTGCATTGGAATTGGAAATAGAAATTTCTATCCCTCGAATTACCAAGAGGCAAATACATAGAAACAATCCTCCATCAGACTGTGATAGTGACTACTGGAAGCGTTCGTTAATTATACCGTATCTGGATTCAATTATAGCCTCTTTAAATATTCGCTTTTCTCAAGAACATACTCCAGCGTTTGCCTTAACAAAAATACATCCATTATATATGCTCGACATGGAAACCAATCAAGTAGAACAAAATGCACAATATTTTACCCAGTTTTATAAATTGGACGATATTACTGCGGAAATGGACCTATGGTATAATTTGTGGAAGGAAAAAAAGTCAACTGAGGACCAGCTAAAAGACGTCGAAATAACTGACCTTCTTGACGAGACCGATGTTTTTTATCCCATCCTAAAACAGGCACTTTTGATTTTAATCACAATTCCATGCACCACGGCCACTGTAGAACGATCCTTCAGTACTCTTCGAAGAGTGAAGACTTGGTTGAGAAGTACCATGGGAGAGGAAAGGTTAACAGGATTATGTCTCATGAGTGTGCTTCGTGATTTAATTAAATCAAATCGAGAGCAATTTGAAAATCAAGTTTTAAATAAATTTGCGACAAATCCAAGAAAATTGTTATTGAAGTAAAAATTAAGCGAGTTATGTCAAAATTTAGTAATTAAAAAGAGAAATGCAAAATCCATTGTTTTTTTTTTTTTTTGGTCAGCCCCCCCCTATTTCAGATCCTGGGTACGCCCATGGGAAGATGACTACAATATGAACAATGAACAATGAATAAGTTAAAATATCTTCCAGAGCATTCAGTGGCCCTAGAAAATATTTTTAAAAGTGTCAGCGTCAGCTTGTCTTGAAACCACACATCAGACTTAACTTTTGGGGTTGAAATTACGATCAATTATTTACGCGCCAAAATTTAAATAGCTCCAAGTACAGAAGCGCCCTCTTCAACTCAACTGTCAATATTACCGAGAATATTACATGCCATTGATTTGTGATTTCTGTGCGAACAGACCTTATAGGTATTGAGAATTAGGCAATTCAAACCACGTGACTTTCAAGATGGCGTGGCGGCCACACATGGGCCAAAAAACACAAAAAAATATCTAGAATCTGCTCGATTTATTAGTTTAGGTACCTAGTCAACAAATATTTTATTAAATAATTTAAATAGTCCAAATCAAAGTTGCAAGCAAAACTCTAAGCAAAATAATTTGAAATACGCATAAAAACACATTCAAAACAAACTTGCTTGGCCGCCACGCCATATTGAATTTTCGTATCTGACAGATGGATTGAATTGCCTAATACTGTGTGTGCACCAGTGTTGTTCAAATGGCACATTTGTGCCAAAAGTGGCACTTTTCGCGCGCAAAATGCACGGTGGCACCACTTTGAAAAATTTGGCACGATTCACATTTATTAAAGTGTGTTTTTTTTTAAAGATAAAAGTCAAAATGACATTATGTTGGCAATACAATGTAAAATTGTCAATGCTTTCAATTTTTTTATGTAGAAGAGGCTTGTGCTGCCAACATAATTACTAAATTTTTGACTTGGGGAATTATCTTTAAAAAAAAAAAAACACATTTCTTATGGAAAAGTGATCTATAGTTCATACCAAATAAACTTATTGTTGGGTTGTCAAGCTCGACCGGCACAGCGTTGCCGTCTCTTGCATATTTTCCTTTGGTCAAAATATTTTCAGAAAAAAAAATGGATTATATTATAATATAATGCAAACATTTATTACTTGAATTATAAACATTGTTTCAAAGCTTGGTTTAATAGATATTTAATAACAACTCATTTGTCAATCATCACATAAAATATAATCAGTACCCATTTTATTTACAGCCACTCTAAATACTATAAATAATTAAATATTATGAATATTTGAACCATCAAAAATATTTTCAATTATTCTGGATCACTGAAATCGCTAGAATCGCTAGAATCGCTAAAGTCTTCATCAACATTGATAAAAAGTGGAAGAACCTCTTGCCTGTCCATTACTTGTTCCCTGTTATACCACTCGTCAATTATTTCCACATTTCAGGGGTAACAGTTTCCAGTGCCTCTCGCCACATTTTTGAACAAGCATCTTAAGTATAACCATCTCTGCCAATATGTCGGTTATAATAGTTTTTTGCAATTCCCCAAATAAGTTCAATCGGGTTAAAAGTGCAGTGGCATGGAGGTAGTCGTAAAACTTTATATCCATACTGTTCTGCCAAGTCATCTACCACATACTTTTTTGTTGGTTTATTCCTGAAAAAGCAATACTTGAAAAGTTGAGCATAAAATGCATACAATTTTGTTATTGTAGGTACTTACCTTGCAACAATGGTAACAAGTTCAGATTTCAATGCTGTATTTGGATACTCAACTTTCTATTCGGTTAACCAATTTTGAATTTCAGCCTTGGAAGACGAACTATTAGGTGCCTTCGTTAATAACATGCTGTGGTAAGGAGCATTGTCTATAACAATGACAGATGGTTCAGTCAAGTTCTTCAGCAGCTGATTTTCGAACCAACGTACAAAGTTTTGCTGATTCATTTCCCCATGATAGTCGTTAAGTTGAGTTTTCGATGAAAATACGAGCGATGCACCTTCAATCAATCCATTTTCATTGCCAGCATGAAGTATGATATATCTAAAAAAAGCATTTAATTTGTACATCTAATACAACTGCTCTCTGTATTCATGTTTATATTCACCTTTTACCATCAACTTTGGTAGTTTTAACACGTCGCTTGTTATTGTCTTACCAAGAGCGATTAATGGTACGATTTTGAAACATTCAAGTCTCGTCCAAGAAAACAAACTGGTACAAACTCTACAAAGCCTCCTGTTTCAGTCTTAGATAAGACCTCAAAAATGATATGCGTTTAACAGCAATATCAGGAAGTTCCATCGTATAGCACTGCTATCGAGCTTTGAAACATCACAGACTCTCTTTGAAGTGCATTGTTTCTTAGAAGGCGATTCCAAAACTTCGTTATTTTTGATTGCCTTTGAAATAGCACAGACAGTGGACATACTTAAGTTCAAAGCCTCTGCTACGCGCTAAAAATGAGAGATAATAAAGTTCAAATTGGAAATTCCTATTTGGTCACACGACATCAACAACTTGTGAACTCACCTTCCTAACAGCATTTAAGGGACATAAAGGGCCATTATTATCGCGTTCTCGTTCGAAATATTCTAACAAGGATGCGATTAGTTCTTTGCAACGGCTGTTAAGCTGCTTCGGCATCTTGTACACTTCGCACTACAACCTGTTTTTGAAAAACTAGCTCACAATAAATAGCACTCAAACCAACAACTCGTAAACTGCCAAAAAGCAATCAAAATTCAAAATGTCAAGAATTTCATTTGGCAACATTACATTTTTTGAAGTGGTGTTACCAACTGAATTACCAGCGGGAAATTCAAATTCCAATTAAGTCAATCCGACGCCGAATAATTTCACGGTTGGCCATAACGATTTTAAAAATGGCGTCATCGATGTCACAACTACAAGTTTATTTGGTATGAACTATATGTGGAATTTTGCTGAATTTTTAATATTGTGTAGAGTGTAGAGGAAGTCGTCCTTAACAAAAGTTAACATTGCGCTAATGTTTAATACCGAACAGTTTTGGAGATATCAATTAAAAACTTTGATAGCGCTAGCGATTAGTGACAAATAAGTAGATAAACAAGTGTATAATGAAGGAATGACACACCCGGTGTGAGTGTGACACCGGTGCGACTTCCTAGCTGGTCAAAAATGCTAGACAGTGCTATGAGCCCTTAACACCTAGCTCCTGCCGCAATCTTCAACTTTATGTCAGGTGCTTTCTTTTCAGAGCTTTGAAACCCCGGGCTTCGACGCCCTGGGGCGCATCAGCGCACGCTCTGAAAAGAACGGTAATTAAGAGACATATAATTATTTGACACTAGTGACAGTTCGGACACTGGAGCTGTAGAGCTTCGACGCCTCGCTGAGGCGCTAGCGGTGGGAATAGACGACCCTCAAGGAGAATACAAACTCTAGTAGTAGAGTCCGCGTCAGCAGTAAAGAATACGGTGACGACACGGAAAGCTGCGCGAAGCGGGTCGCATCTCTCTCCCTCGTCTATCTCTCGCTGTCTGCGGTGACCTCGGTCGTGAGCAGGGTTGCCAGACGTCTCACCTTAGGAGGGACAATCCCGCATTTTGTTAATCGGTCCCGCTTTTCACGTGAATTATCCCGGTTTTCCCGCTTTTTCCACCTAATCTTCACATTTAATGCAAAAAACAAGCTTATTTTATTATACAACTTGTTGATAGCTATTTTTTCATTTAAAATCGACGCAAAAATCAAATAACGAGCCTGAATCGCACACATTTCATCGTGGTCTGCAGGTGACGTTACCACTACTAGCTGCTGGCGTGGTGACGTCATTCGCAGACCTTGTGGACTCGAGAACCGGCGAACGTACGCCTTCTCAGGGGTGCGTTCAAGGACGGCAATGCTAATGCCAAAACCTACTTTTCCCCCACCACCTGTAATGCTGAATCACGTATAGTCTGGCTAGCGAAAAAAGGAAATAATGATAAACAAGTTGGTGACATTTTTTTTTTGCTATATGGGCATGTGTAGTATTTTGAAATAGAAAAAAATCCGGCAACATTGCAAAATGATAGATGTGGAGAGGCGTGATTATTCAGAGGTATGATTCTATTGGTTAGAGTCTGAACGACAGCAGGTAGTGGCGTGGTTATTGGCGAAACTAAAGAATTTTTTTTTCTAATAATTTTATTGGTGTTTCCGGTGCCACTGAACCGAAAGACATGGCTGTCATCAGGTGGTGTCAGTTGAAGTGTCAGTGAATATTTTTAGGTCACGCCCCACTTTTCTTTCCCCCTTTCGTCTCTACCAAGTTACCACTTGCCAGACTATAGGTTGAAGCCGAACTCGAACGGAAAATGCCAATTTTGGCTTGGCTGTAGCCATTCCTGAACGCAGCCCGGGATGAGCAATCTTGTTAATTTACAATTCTTGGGTTAGTTGGGCACCTGTCCCTCCCTCCCCCTTATGCTTTTGGGCGTGGCACCCGAAAAAAAAATTCGAGCTTTCCCTCTGGATAACATCATTCCCACTTTTTCACTTCATAGATCTGGCAACCCTGGTCGTGAGCTGAAACCAGCAGCGGGGTATCTTTTTAGACAAAACTTGGATAGAAAATAAACTGAATAAATATGCCTGCTGGCCGTACGACAATGAACAACGTGCTTGGCGTTCGGCAGCAGCACTCATCAATACGATAGTTCGGTTAGTCTTCAAAATTGGGTTTGTGCGCACATGACGACACCGTACTCTTTAGTCTTGACGCGGACTCTAGTAGTGTATATCATCATTATATCATCCTTGGACGCTTGACTCCCCGATTAAAAAGAACGGTTGACACATTTCAAATTCTTGGAAAACTAGTAAAGGCAAAAATTTGAAACTTTTTGCATATGAGGAGAAAGGTTGAAGGCTCATTTTGCCAAAATTTCAAATTTTTCCAGTGGAAAATAACAACATAAAGAATCTTGGAAATCAACCTACAATAACTGAATTATTTGAAAATACAGTATCACACATTTCAAAGTTTTCCTGGAAAACTAGTAAAGGTAAAAATTTGAAACTTTTTGCATATGAGGAGAAAGGATAGACGCTCATTTTCTCAAAATTTCAAATTTTTCCAGTGGAAAATAACAACAAAGAATCTTGGAAATCAACCTACAATAACTGAATTATTTAAAAATACAGTATCACACATTTCAAAAAATTTTCTTGGAAAATTTTGAAACTTTTTGAATGTAAAAGTTAGAGGCTCATTTTCCCATAATTTCAAATTTTTCCATTGGAAAATAACAACATGAGGAATCTTGGAAATCAACTTACAATAACTGAATAAATTGAAAATACCGTTTCACATATTTCAAAGTTTTCCTGGAAAACTATTAGAGGGAAAAATTTGAAACTTTTTATATGTAAAGAGGAAAGGTTAAAAGCTCATTTTCCCGAAATTTCAAATTTTTCCAGTGGAAAATAACAACATAAAGAATCTTGGAAATCAATCTATAATAATTGAATTATTTGAAAATACAGTCTCACACATTTCAAAGTTTTCTCGGAAAACTAAAAAAGGCAAAAATTTGAAACTTTTTGCATATGAGGAGAAAGGATAAACGCTCATTTTAGTCATTTTCCTAAAATTTCAAATTTTTCCAGTGGAAAATAACACTTTTTGCATGTAAAGGGGAAAGTTAGACACTTATTTTCCCATAATTTCAAATTTTTCCATTGGGAAGTAACAACATGAGGAATCTTGGAAATCAACTGACAAAAACTGAAATAATTGCTAATACAGTCTAACACAATTCGAAGTTTTCCTGGAAAACTAATTGAGGGAATTTTGAAACTTTTTGTATGGAAAGAGAAATATCAGAGGCTCATTTTCTCAAAATTTTAAATTTTTTCAGTGGAATATAATAACATGAAGAATCTTGGACATCAGCCTACAAAAACTGAACTCATTATTGTTTTGAATTTTTCAAATTTGGACCTGGAAATTAGGAAGTGAAATTTTGGGAGAATTTCTTTAATAAAAGTAAATGTACAACAACTAACACAAAACTAGATTCTAAATTTCCTATTATTGTGTGTTTTTCATAATAAAAATGTGAACCTCAGTGATGTCATGACCCTACAATTTCCTCATAAATTCCTCACAAATTCCTCCAAATTTTCCATAAATTTCTCGAAATCCTCCATAAATTTCTATAAATTCCCCAAATTCTCATAAATTCCGAAGAGTTCCTTCAAATTCCCCACAAATTGCTCTTAATTCCCCACATTTTTGGCAAAGAGTTATTCCTAGGTGGTTTCCCCTTGCAAATATTTGATTTTACTCTTTCAATACCATGGCAATACCTGATAATAAATATGTGATAATACTAGGAAAATACCTGGCAATATGTGGAAATAACTTGTATTACATAAAAATATTTGTTAACACAGGGAAATATCACTTAATACTGTTAATCAATGTACAAATTTTGTTAGGTCAAATACTCAGGTAAATCATTATATACCTTCAAAGCAATACATTATAATATGTATATGGTTCTATGTTTCAGCTTCTGTAGCTATCCTAGTAGGTATTTAAGTCATGTTTTATGTTCTCTTTGTATAGTTAGATTTTTTTCTACATAAACCTTACCGCAGATTCAATATACATTTGCTCTATGGTTAGTAAGTCACTTTATTTATAAATATGATTACACAATACACAAAGGATGATTTCTATTATCCCCTTATAAACCACTCTCAGGCCAAGTTTCACAAACAGTGGTACCCTAAAAACTAGGCGCAGGTTAACCACAAAATAGGGATTGAGTTAAAACGAAGAATCTGAAGATTGACCAATAGTTTTGGTTCAATCGCACATTATGAAACAGATTTTTTGTGGGTAAAAGTGTCTTGTGGTTACCATTGTTTGTGAAAATGGCCCTTAGTTTTGACAGTGTTGTTGAGCCTGCATTCCACCCATAACAAGTAGTTTTTTGATTTTTTAAAATCTTGATAAGGTTAAGAAAAATTGCCAATATTTGCATTAAAATTCAAACCAGTCAAAATAAATTATACACCATTGAAAACAGTATTAAATTTTCTATAAATCCATGCTAAATTGAGTTTGATTGCTCATATACTTTTTGAGCAATTGATCTGTAATTAAACTAGAAAAATTTTGTTGTTGGCTTCTTGTTACTGTCAACAAACTTCATAATAATTGACCAATTTATTCTAGGTTGGCGAGTCAAAACCGATTCGGAAATGACCAAAAAAGCCCGCGAAGGCATCATGGAATTCCTCCTAATCAACCACCCACTGGACTGTCCCATTTGCGACCAAGGAGGCGAATGCGACTTGCAAGACCAAAGCATGGCCTTTGGTTCAGATAAATCCCGCTTCACCGACATCGAACATTCAGGCAAAAGAGCTGTCGAAGACAAAGACATTGGGCCTTTGATTAAAACTATAATGACCAGATGTATTCATTGCACTAGATGTATTAGATTTGCCTCAGAAGTTGCAGGAGTTGATGATTTAGGTACTACAGGGCGAGGCAATGACATGCAAGTGGGCACTTATGTTGAAAAAATGTTTTTGTCTGAAATGTCTGGCAATATAATTGATTTGTGCCCAGTAGGGGCTTTAACAAGCAAGCCTTATAGCTTCACTGCAAGGCCTTGGGAAATCCGTAAAATCGATTCAATTGATGTTTTGGATGCTGTTGGCTCTAACATAGTAGTTTCCAGTAGAACTGGAGAAGTAATGAGGATTATGCCAAGAGTAAATGAAGAAATAAACGAGGAATGGATTGCAGATAAATCAAGATTTTCTTATGATGGTCTTAAAAGGCAACGATTGGTCACTCCAATGCTGAGGGATAATACAGGGGAATTGAGGCCTGTAGATTGGGAGGCGGCTCTTTTAACTGTGGCCAAGCAAATTAAAAATGCTGGAGCCAATGTAGGGGCTATAGCAGGTGGTTTGGCTGATGCAGAAGTTTTAGTTGCCGTTAAAGATTTACTAAACCGTTTGGGCTCTGAAGCCTTATGCACAGAACATACTTTTCCAATGGATGGATCTGGGACTGATTTGAGATCTAGTTATTTGCTTAATAACGGTATTGCGCACGCTGAGGAGGCAGACTTTGTGCTTTTGGTTGGTACAAATCCAAGATTTGAAGCTCCGCTTTTGAATTCGAGGTTGAGAAAGGGTTATGTGCATAATGAGCTTGAAGTGGCTCTTATTGGGCCTAAAGTTGATCTCAGGTATCAGTATAAACATTTGGGCGATGGTACAGATGTTTTGCAGCAATTGATTGGAGGTGGACATGAAGTTAGCAAGAAATTGAAATCAGCTAAAAAGCCTTTGATTATTGTTGGTTCAGAGGTGTTAGAGAGGCCAGATGGGGCGGCTATTTTGGCTGTAATCCAGAAATTGTCGGCAAGTACTAAAGCTCAAGAAGGCTGGAAAGTTTTAAATGTTTTACACAAAGTTGCCAGTCAAGTAGCTGCATTGGATATTGGCTATAATCCAGGAGTGGACAAAATTAGAGAAAACAATCCAAAGGTTTTGTTGCTTTTGGGAGCTGATGAAGGTGCTATTGAGAAGGCTGACTTGTGTGACAACACTTTTGTTGTTTATTTAGGTAAGTGAATTGTCAAAGGGTAAACCAGCTTGGAATTATTATTATAACTCCAAATTTTTATATCAGAACGACTTACTAATGAGTTAATTTACTCATCAGTTCAAAATTTAATTCATTTTCAGGTCAGAATTTTTGTTATCAATGAGTGAATTACTCACGAACCTCTGCGGGACGAGCGCAGCGAGTTCCGCAGCAATTTACTCATTAGTTCAATGACTCATCCATTTTTGATTCAAAATTTTCTCTCATTAATAATTTAAAAATTCACTAATATTCAGGTCAGCACATTTTTACAGCTTTTTCATACAATTTTGATTTGCAGCTTCAAATGAACATTTTTATATAGAAAAGACAAGTGATTCTTGCAGATTTTAATCATTTGTACATGCATTAATGTTAGAACAAGTTTCCAAATTTGATTCGAAACTTCAAATTAATTTTTCCACAAAGAGGAAACTTCAATTCATAAATCTTAAAAGTTTCAAGTCACTGTGATCATTAGAAGTACTTTGCATAAGTGATTTTTACAGATTTTATCATTTTTGTATGCATTAATGTAAGAACAAGCTTCCAAATTTGGTTTGAAGCTTTAAATTAACTCCAAATTAACTTTTCCACAAAGAGGAAACTTCAATTCATAAATCCTGAAAGTTTCAAGTTACTGGGATCATTAGAAGTACCTTGCACGAGTGATTTTTGCAGATTTTAATCATTTTTGCATGCACTAACGTAAAAAACAAGTTTCCAAATTTGGTTTGAAGTTTCAAATCATCTTCAAATTAACTTTCCCACAAAGAGGAAACTTCAATTCATAAATCTTAAAAGTTTTCAAGTCACTGTGATCATTAGAAGTACTTTGCACAAGTGATTTTTGCAGATTTTAATCATTTTTGCATGCACTAAAGTAAAAACAAGCTTCCAAATTTGGTTTGAAGTTTCAAATCATCTTCAAATTAACTTTCCCACAAAGAGGAAACTTCAATTCATAAATCCTGAAAGTTTCAAGTTACTGGGATCATTAGAAGTACTTTGCACAAGTGATTTTTGCAGATTTTAATCATTTTTGCATGCACTAACGTAAAAATAAGCTTTCAAATTTGGTTTGGAGTTTCAAATCATCTTCAATATAACTTTTCCATAAAGAGGAAACTTCAATTCATAAATCGTGAAAGTTTCAAGTTACTGGGATCATTAGAAGTACCTTGCACAAGTGATTTTTGCAGATTTTAATCATTTTTGCATGCACTAAAGTAAAAACAAGCTTCCAAATTTGGTTTGAAGTTTCAAATCATCTTCAAATTAACTTTCCCACAAAGAGGAAACTTCAATTCATAAATCCTGAAAGTTTCAAGTTACTGGGATCATTAGAAGTACCTTGCACAAGTGATTTTTGCAGATTTTAATCATTTTTGCATGCACCAACGTAAAAATAAGCTTTCAAATTTGGTTTGGAGTTTCAAATCATCTTCAATATAACTTTTCCATAAAGAGGAAACTTCAATTCATAAATCTTAAAAGTTTCAAGTCACTGTGATCATTAGAAGTACTTTGCACAAGTGATTTTTGCAGATTTTAATCATTTTTGCATGCACTAACGTAGAAACAAGCTTCCAAATTTGGTTTGGAGTTTCAAGTCATCTTCAAATTAACTTTTCCACAAAGAGGAAACTTCAATTCATAAATCCTGAAAGTTTCAAGTTACTGGGATCATTAGAAGTACCTTGCACAAGTGATTTTTGCAGATTTTAATCATTTTTGCATGCACTAACGTAAAAACAAGTTTCCAAATTTGGTTTGGACATTCAAATCATCTTCAAATTAACTTTTCCACAAAGAGGAAACTTCAATTCATAAATCTGAAAACTTTCAAGTCACTGTGATCATTAGAAGTACCTTGCACAAGTGATTTTTGCAGATTTTAATCATTTTTGCATGCACTAAAGTAAAAACAAGCTTCCAAATTTGATTTGAAGTTTCAAATCATCTTCAAATTAACTTTTCCACAAAGGGGAAACTTCAATTCATAAATCCTGAAAGTTTCAAGTCACTGTGATCATTAGTATGCACAAGTGATTTTTGCAGATTTTAATCATTTTTGCATGCACTAAAGTAAAAACAAGTTTCCAAATTTGGTTTGGAATTTCAAATCATCTTCAAATTAACTTTTCCACAAAGAGGAAACTTCAATTCATAAATCTTAAAAGTTTCAAGTCATTGTGATCATTAGAAGTACCTTGCACAAGTGATTTTTGTAGATTTTAATCATTTTTGCATGCACTAAAGTAAAAACAAGCTTCCAAATTTGGTTTGAAGTTTCAAATCATCTTCAAATTAACTTTCCCACAAAGAGGAAACTTCAATTCATAAATCTTAAAAGTTTCAAGTCACTGTGATCATTAGAAGTACTTTGCACAAGTGATTTTTGCAGATTTTAATCATTTTTGCATGCACTAAAGTAAAAACAAGCTTCCAAATTTGGTTTGAAGTTTCAAATCATCTTCAAATTAACTTTCCCACAAAGAGGAAACTTCAATTCATAAATTGTGAAAGTTTCAAGTTACTGGGATCATTAGAAGTACCTTGCACAAGTGATTTTTGCAGATTTTAATCATTTTTGCATGCACTAAAGTAAAAACAAGCTTCCAAATTTGGTTTGAAGTTTCAAATCATCTTCAAATTAACTTTCCCACAAAGAGGAAACTTCAATTCATAAATCCTGAAAGTTTCAAGTTACTGGGATCATTAGAAGTACTTTGCACAAGTGATTTTTGCAGATTTTAATCATTTTTGCATGCACTAAAGTAAAAACAAGCTTCCAAATTTGGTTTGAAGTTTCAAATCATCTTCAAATTAACTTTCCCACAAAGAGGAAACTTCAATTCATAAATCTTAAAAGTTTCAAGTCACTGTGATCATTAGAAGTACTTTGCACAAGTGATTTTTGCAGATTTTAATCATTTTTGCATGCACTAAAGTAAAAACAAGCTTCCAAATTTGGTTTGAAGTTTCAAATCATCTTCAAATTAACTTTCCCACAAAGAGGAAACTTCAATTCATAAATCGTGAAAGCTTCAAGTTACTGGGATCATTAGAAGTACCTTGCACAAGTGATTTTTGCAGATTTTAATCATTTTTGCATGCACTAAAGTAAAAACAAGCTTCCAAATTTGGTTTGAAGTTTCAAATCATCTTCAAATTAACTTTCCCACAAAGAGGAAACTTCAATTCATAAATCCTGAAAGTTTCAAGTTACTGGGATCATTAGAAGTACTTTGCACAAGTGATTTTTGCAGATTTTAATCATTTTTGCATGCACTAACGTAAAAATAAGCTTTCAAATTTGGTTTGGAGTTTCAAATCATCTTCAATATAACTTTTCCACAAAGAGGAAACTTCAATTCATAAATCCTGAAAGTTTCAAGTTACTGGGATCATTAGAAGTACCTTGCACGAGTGATTTTTGCAGATTTTAATCATTTTTGCATGCACTAACGTAAAAACAAGTTTCCAAATTTGGTTTGAAGTTTCAAATCATCTTCAAATTAACTTTCCCACAAAGAGGAAACTTCAATTCATAAATCTTAAAAGTTTCAAGTCACTGTGATCATTAGAAGTACTTTGCACAAGTGATTTTTGCAGATTTTAATCATTTTTGCATGCACTAAAGTAAAAACAAGCTTCCAAATTTGGTTTGAAGTTTCAAATCATCTTCAAATTAACTTTCCCACAAAGAGGAAACTTCAATTCATAAATCCTGAAAGTTTCAAGTTACTGGGATCATTAGAAGTACCTTGCACAAGTGATTTTTGCAGATTTTAATCATTTTTGCATGCACCAACGTAAAAATAAGCTTTCAAATTTGGTTTGGAGTTTCAAATCATCTTCAATATAACTTTTCCATAAAGAGGAAACTTCAATTCATAAATCTTAAAAGGTTCAAGTCACTGTGATCATTAGAAGTACTTTGCACAAGTGATTTTTGCAGATTTAAATCATTTTTGCATGCACTAAAGTAAAAACAAGCTTCCAAATTTGGTTTGAAGTTTCAAATCATCTTCAAATTAACTTTCCCACAAAGAGGAAACTTCAATTCATAAATCCTGAAAGTTTCAAGTTACTGGGATCATTAGAAGTACCTTGCACAAGTGATTTTTGCAGATTTTAATTATTTTTGCATGCACCAACGTAAAAATAAGCTTTCAAATTTGGTTTGGAGTTTCAAATCATCTTCAATATAACTTTTTCATAAAGAGGAAACTTCAATTCATAAATCTTAAAAGGTTCAAGTCACTGTGATCATTAGAAGTACTTTGCACAAGTGATTTTTGCAGATTTAAATAATTTTTGCATGCACTAAAGTAAAAACAAGCTTCCAAATTTGGTTTGAAGTTTCAAATCATCTTCAAATTAACTTTCCCACAAAGAGGAAACTTCAATTCATAGATCCTGAAAGTTTCAAGTTACTGGGATCATTAGAAGTACCTTGCACAAGTGATTTTTGCAGATTTTAATCATTTTTGCATGCACCAACGTAAAAATAAGCTTTCAAATTTGGTTTGGAGTTTCAAATCATCTTCAATATAACTTTTTCATAAAGAGGAAACTTCAATTCATAAATCTTAAAAGGTTCAAGTCACTGTGATCATTAGAAGTACTTTGCACAAGTGATTTTTGCAGATTTAAATCATTTTTGCATGCACTAAAGTAAAAACAAGCTTCCAAATTTGGTTTGAAGTTTCAAATCATCTTCAAATTAACTTTCCCACAAAGAGGAAACTTCAATTCATAAATCCTGAAAGTTTCAAGTTACTGGGATCATTAGAAGTACCTTGCACAAGTGATTTTTGCAGATTTTAATCATTTTTGCATGCACCAACGTAAAAATAAGCTTTCAAATTTGGTTTGGAGTTTCAAATCATTTTCAATATAACTTTTTCATAAAGAGGAAACTTCAATTCATAAATCTTAAAAGGTTCAAGTCACTGTGATCATTAGAAGTACTTTGCACAAGTGATTTTTGCAGATTTTAATCATTTTTGCATGCACTAAAGTAAAAACAAGCTTTCAAGTTTGGTTTGAAGTTTCAAATCATCTTCAAATTAACTTTCCCACAAAGAGGAAACTTCAATTCATAAATCCTGAAAGTTTCAAGTTACTGGGATCATTAGAAGTACCTTGCACAAGTGATTTTTGCAGATTTTAATCATTTTTGCATGCACCAACGTAAAAATAAGCTTTCAAATTTGGTTTGGAGTTTCAAATCATCTTCAATATAACTTTTTCATAAAGAGGAAACTTCAATTCATAAATCTTAAAAGGTTCAAGTCACTGTGATCATTAGAAGTACTTTGCACAAGTGATTTTTGCAGATTTAAATCATTTTTGCATGCACTAACGTAAAAACAAGCTTCCAAATTTGGTTTGGAGTTTCAAATCATCTTCAAATTAACTTTTACACAAAGAGGAAACTTCAACTCATAACTTCTGAGAGTTTCAAGTTACTAGGATCATTAGAAGTACCTTGCACAAGTGATTTTTGCAGATTTTAATCATTTTTGCATGCACCAACGTAAAAAGAAGCTGCCAAATTTGGTTTGGAGTTTCAAATCATCTTCAAATTAACTTTTCCACAAAGAGGAAACTTTAATTGATAAATCCTGAAAGTTTTAAGCTACTGTGATCATAAGAAGTATTTTTCACAAGTGCATGTGCATGCATTAACTCATTAATTCGAAAAGTTTTCATTTTCCTAATATCAGAACGACTCATTGATGAGTTATATGCTGGTTCAAAAATGAGTAAAACTCAATTTACTCATGAAATGTAGGTACTTTCTACTTATTAGTCCAAAATTTCATTCATTTTCAGTGGGATTTTGTTGAAAGTGTACACATTTTCCACGGTGGTTTGTGATTGATTGCAATTAGCTGATTATTTGATTATTTTAAGGTCATCACGGTGATCACGGTGCAACTATTGCCGATGCCATTCTACCAGGAGCAGCCTACACTGAAAAACAGGCCACTTATGTTAATACTGAAGGCAGAGCCCAACAAACTTTAGTAGCAGTGACGCCTCCTGGTAGGGCTAGAGAGGATTGGAAAGTCATAAGGGCGTTGTCCGAGATTGTAGGGGCAAAATTACCCTATGATAATTTGAATGAAATTAGGGATAGATTAGATGAAGTGGCACCTCATTTGACTAAATATGGAGAAGCAGAAAATGCAAACTTTTTCAAACAGGCTCAAGATTTAGCAAAGGTAACTATTGGATTTATCAGTTAATAATAATAATTGTGTTTTTTTTTTTGTAGAATGTTAAGACCCAATTGGATTGTACGCCTTTAGATGTTAAACTGAAGGATCTTTCTGATTATTTCATGACGGATTCAATTAGTAGGGCTTCGCCCACTATGGCCAAGTGCGTCCAAGCTGTTCTCAAACAGAAGCAGTCAAAGTTTTAGATTTAATAAATTATAAGTTTTGTTGTTTTTTGGTTGGATCACCTTTTTTCTATGTTAAGTTGTATATTGTTAATTAGGAAAAATAAATCGCTGTTGTGGTCGATATAGGAATACAATTTGAGTAATTTAAAATGCCCAGAGAGTCCCAAAAGAAATCTGACAATTAATTATACAAGGTGTTTGTTTTACGAATTTTAGAATAATCACTTAAAACGGACATTCTGTATAATAATTCATTTGGAAAATGTTTTTTTTTTAAAGCAGTGGCAACATTGTAACATTAAATAATCAATGAACATATACTACACAAACGTGACGTAAGTGTATAGTTCATTGATAATAATAGTCAGTGGGTGAAAGTGAGGTTGGAAAACCTTAAATTTCACTACAAACAATAGTTTATTTTCACTATTGTTTGTATAACAATTTAAAATTACTATACAATAAACCAGTGTTGTCAAACTGCAAAATACAAACGATGATCGGAAACCCAATGCAAATTCTAAATATAGACTAAAATCGATAGTGCAAAATGAACCAGAAGTCTAAGCACAAGGGCTTCGCTAGTTTTCTGTTGCCCAACAAGCCCCCCAATAAAGTTGGAGTCGCAATAAGCCGAAGTCAGAGCGCCAAAGAGCCCAACTTGCGAAATCTCACTCATACCGAGGCCAAAAGTCCTGTTAAAATTTCTCAGAGGCCTTTGAGTTTTAACGCTAAAAATGGTACATTGAATAAGCAAAAGGAACTACTAGAACCGGTAATATACCCCTATTTATTTAAATTTGTTTTTGGAAATTTACTGAAGAGAAAATTATGAACCTTTCAGGAGAAAGAGAGGAAAGTTAGCAGCTCTTTATACTAGAATTTCAAAGCTTTCCAGTAAAAAAATTCAAGAGCCTGGAATAGATATATTATTTTCCAAAGTTTCTATATAATTTCTAATGGATATTCCAAAATTGCTAGAATCTTCATAAAATTATCAAATATTTATTCATAATTTTCAGCCACAATCCATCTTGAAACGAGAAAACAGTGTATCAGAAAGCCACCTATTTGAAGACATACTAGAAAATACTCCACTAGAAAAATACGGCTCGCACGAAAGCGTTTTAAAAGAAGCAGTGAGCAGCCTTCACAAAATTCCCACAATCAAAGCACGAGAACGGAACTTTTTGCACGGAAAAATCGGAGTCAATTCTTTACTGGGCCCCCCTGAATTAGACAGGCTTTGCCCCAACAGAGAAATCACTATATTTGTTGGTACGTGGAACATGAATGGACATTCCCCACCACAGTAAGTGATTTTCAGTTAATTAAATTTAAATCAAAAATAAGTGAATATTTTATAGAGAATTGAATGATTTTGTATTGCCTACTGGTATTAAACATGTTCCTGATATTTTAACTTTTGGAACTCAAGAGTCTTGCTCTGAAAGATTGGAGTGGGAAGTTTCATTGCAAGAAACTATTGGGCCTTCGCATATATTATATCATTCGACTAGTTTAGGTAATATAATGTTTTAACAAATACCTAATAATAAAAGAAACATTTTTAGGTACATTACATTTATGCATATTCATACGTAGAGACTTAATTTGGTACATATCAATACCGGAAGATGCCAGTTTATCCGTAAGACCGGGAACTGCGTTTAGAACCAAAGGGGCAGTGGCCAGTTCCTTTATGATATTTGGTACTTCTTTTTTGTTTGTGACGGCCCATTTGACTGCACACCAGGAAAAGGTTAAGGAAAGGGTTGGAGATGTTAAAAGGATCGTTAACAGTTTGGATTTGCCCAGACTGTTGCCTTGCAAAAATAAATCTAAAGGTAAACGAGAAATAATTATTTTCCTGGTTAAAAATGTGCAAATTAAATGTAAGTAAATTTACTGGATTATTTGTTTTTTCTTTTGGTTTGTACATACGTTTTTTGCACGGTCATTTTGTTGGTTTTCACAAGTTTAAGTTGAATTTTTATTTGAAATTTCAATGAGGAAGAAAATTTGAAACTTTTAGAGTTTATGGAAGAAGGTTAGAGCGGTCTCCTATCAAAATTTCAAGCCGATTGATTCAAAATTGAAAAAAAAATCCTAAAAATGAAGTTTAAAAGGAAACATTGCATTATGAGATATTTGAATTTTTATCTCAAAATCCGATAATGGTAATAATTTGAAATTTTCTGATTCTAAAAGAAGCAGGTTAGGAGGATTTTTCACAAAAATTTCAAGCCGATCGATTCATTCTTCCCGTATACTCAACTTCCCTAATAATTATCTTACAAATTGGCGCCCAACCTGGGGCCACGGTAAGTTCAATTCAAAATTGGAAAATAAACCAAAAATCAACTTTGAAAAAAAATCAATCTCATGAATTTTTAACACAATTCACCTAGAAACCTGACATTAGTTTTTTAGCAAAACAATCATTGTTTTTGAGTTTTTCCATACACCAACCCTTCATTGATTCCTTGCACTAGACAGAGACAGTTTCCCCAATCACAAAATGTTTTCCATCACCCTCAAAAACCAAACAATCCCAAAAACTAATAAATGCTCTCTTATTTTCCAGATTCAAACGCTGACACAATATGAGACAAGAAGACATCCTACCACAAACTACATTAAAATTAGAATTTTTACTAAAATCATAAAATAACCAGAGAAATTATGTTTCAGACGTGACCCAAAACTTCGACTACGTCTTTTGGTCGGGGGACCTCAACTTCCGCCTGGCGACCCCCAGAAGCAAAGTCCTAGAGTGGCTCTCCAACACCAGTTTTCCATTGCCGCCCCATCTTCCACACGGCTATATGCACCACGACCAATTATGCACTGTACTTTCCGATGGGGCAGCTTTTCGTGGTTTTTCCGAGGCCAAAATAACTTTTCCTCCAACTTATAAAGTAATTTTAATTTGTTTTATTATAATTTCATTTATTTATTGAGGTTTGTTTTAGTACGATCCAGGTACTCAAACTTTTGATTCTTCCTCAAAACAAAGAACTCCTGCTTATACAGATAGGATTTTGCACAAACAAAAAAACTGTAGGCGTCTGAGTGGGGCCTTAGAGCATCCGCCCTTGCAATGTCTTGTATACGATGCCGTTCAGAGTATTACAACGTCGGATCATAAGCCTGTTTGGGGCGTTTTTAGGGCTCATTTAAGGCCAGGGCTTGATACGTATGTCAGTTATTTCAATACTGGATAATTTAAATTGTTTGTGTTTTTGTTGTAGGATTCCTTTGGCAGCTGGTATGTTTAATAGGGATGTGTACTTGGAAGGGTTGAAGCGTAGGGCTGAAACCCTTAGTAAAAGCAAGGGGGCCAGTACGGCGTGTTCCTTACAGTAGACAATCAATTATCCTTGATATTACAGGGTGTCCTTCTGATAGATGACAATATTTCGATAGATTTTATGGAAAATCAAACTAGTCAATTTTTTTTTAAGTTTAATAGTACCTATATACACCATGACCAAATTGTAAAACTATTACTTTTAGAGAACCTTATTTTTTAATAAAAATTAAGTTTTATGTTTGATTTTTTACTAAGCTGGTTGGTTGGTTGAGATGCAGAGTGAACAGGCCTTATTGTATTGTCCTGTTAGTTTGTTTAGTTAGTGGTAAGTTTCGTAACCTTGATTAGGTTTAGGAGCCTCTTTACTGTGTTACTTTTGGTGAGTTTAGAGATTGGATTTTCTGGCCCTATCTGTCTGTATCTCTACCAGCGTGAAGCCTCACATCCGAAGATTATATGGATGGCGGTTTCATCCTCATCTTCACAAAGTCTGTATAGGTATGAGTTCTTCTTGGAGGATGCCCATTATGTGAAGATGTTTTCTTATGCTACAGTGTTTAGTTATTAGCCTGATTTGATTCCTGGTTTAGTTATAAGATCTATTCAGTGAGTTTAGGTGATGGTTGTTGTACCATGAGTCAGGGGCGCCGGGTTTCAGAAAACCTCGTGGGTGCTGATGTTCATGCACCAGCATTTATAAGGGGGGTGAACAGCCCGGCGGTGGCGAAAAAACCTCTCCAGAAACCACGCCCAAAAACGTTTTCCAGCATTCTTTAATTTACATTCGGACGAGTGTCTAAGAAGGGAATGGTAATACATTTCAAACAACGTAGTTCAGACCTTTCCATATTCGTTTTCCAGCTGCGGGAACTAGTGTTGCTTGGTGCTTGCGTAAGTTTTTTGCGGTGTCTGCTAAAATTGGAAAAAAAGGACGACTTTAAGGGTAAAGAGTAGAGTGTCTTCACAGCTATCAGAACAATACCCACTTCTACCACGTAAAAGCCCCCCTCCAGCATAGCCATCATAGCCCACCATTAATCTATTTTCGAAAGGCGCCGCCGATCTAGAGATTTTCCCACAGTATCGAAAAACTTCCTAGGCTCAAGTGCCCCCAGCTATCAGACAAACAGATTCACAAACAAAATATTTATTATTGCAATAAAATTAATGCACCTGTTAATGACCAATACCCACCTCACGCAGCTATCAGAGCAATACCCACCTCCACTACGTCAAAAAGCTTTTACTCTGAAGAGGTACCTCTTTCCATATCCCTTCACTTTCTTGAAAACTAAAGAATATTTCAGCAATTCCTGCATTTGTATTCGTCAATAGTGTTCTAAACTCCATTGCAATAATAACATTTTGCTTGTGAATCTGGTGGACCACTTACGTGTAGTAGAGGTGGGTATTGGTCTGATAGCCGGGGGCACTTGAGCCTGGGAAGTTTTTCGATACCGTGGGAAAATCTCTTGATCGGCGGTGCTTTTGATCTGAAATTTTGAGGATTTGACCCGGGCCAACCCCAAAATTGATGAATTCACATACCAATAATTTCCAGTTGTCCACCTATTTTTCAATAAGTTGAACGTTTTTCCTAATTGACAAATGGATTGATCGACTGGAAATTACCGTTCTAGAAAGTTTTTCATGTCTGCTGGAACAGAGCTAAAGTAACCGAATCGGTCAACAGATGTTTACTGAAAATTCCGGTTACTTCGGGGAACGCAAATATGGAAATAAAACATAATTGACAAAAGTTACAGATAAAACCTTGATAAAACCAACAGAACCGATATCCGATGGCCGGTAACTATTTGGACATTTGGTTAACCAGATTTCAGGAACCCGAGGTAAAAAATTAACCAGTTTTCCAGGAACTAGAGAGGATTATGAGTTTTTAAGTCTATGCTCGTGGGTGCTTCGCTCGAGCCCCCGAGCACCCACGTAGTCGGCGCCTCTGCCATGAGTTTACTGTGAAGAATTTGCCAGTAGGTTTTATGTTGTCTATAGACCCATTGGTTTATTTTTGGTCGTACCGATGATTTTGTGGTTCTTCTCTTGCCAGGGCATCTACCTTTTCATTTCCTTCAGCTCCTTTATGCCCTGGCACCAATTCAAGGGTTACCTAGCTTGTTGGCCATACTTAGGTTTTTGAGGTTTTCCAAGCATTTCCACACAAGTTGCGATTTTATTTCAAAACTGTTGAGAGCTTTGATCGACGCTTGACTGTCTGAGCAGATAAAGATATTTTCCTACAGCCGTGCGGAAAAATCGATTTTCCGCACTGATATGCGTGCGGAAAATGAGTTTTTCCCCACGGTGCGGTAAAACTTTTTTTTTTGACATATCAGTGCGGAATAGTACATTAAAATACACGTTTCATAAGACGTCATTTTACCGCACGAGGCGAGTTTTCTAAAGGGCGAGTGCGATAAAATGTCTTATAAAACGAATATTTTATACTATTTTTTCTATTTTGGTATCTATTGTTTAATTTAAAAAAACAAATTTTTCTTGGGACCCCCCAATATGCAAATGGAAATTGGTTGCCCGTGATATTTGGATGAAATTTAAATATGTTGTTGGGGATGCCATAAGCAACATTTTTTACCATGGGCACAACCCTGTATATATGACAGGTGAGGCGTGGTTAACTGTCAAATATTGGAATCTTATATCCAAAAGCAGAGTCACTATGGCAGATTTTGATGAACTAAAAATTTATTTCTACTAAGTCGACCAAGTTAAGTCGAAAAAATGTCAACCATTTTGACACCTGTCCAGTGATGTGCCTGTAGACAATGTCAACGTAAACAATTGATTGTCTACGTGTAGACAATTCGAATTGTTTACGTGGGCATTTGTCTACATGCGGCGTAGACAATAACTTACTTTAAAAAATTCGAAAAAAAATATCAAAAGCTATAAATACTATCACTATCACTTCGATATTAGCATTCACTGATTATAAAATATCAGGAAAACCAATAATAAAATAAAAATAGGGCAATCCAAAGACCTGTCAAAATGGAATTCAAAATGGAGGCCAATGCCTTTTTTCCACTAATAATTTCTTAAACTAAAAACTTTCCATCTTAGAATACGAAAATTATCCTCTCAAACACTAGAAAATCATCTAAAAGCACCACAAAAATACACAAAAAACAGTTTGCTGATGATAAATGTCACGATTGCTTGAATTAAATTTATGGCGCCAATTTTTTGGCATTGACCATGCATTGACCGCCATTTTGTTTGGATTGCCCTATAATTTAAAAAAAGGAAAGTGTGAGGTTAGAATTAAACGTCATTTATATGATTTTACATTGTTGACACGTTGTCTACATTGTCTACATTATCTACACCTCTACACGTAAAGTAGACAATGAAAGTCTACGTGTAGACGCACATCCCTGCACCTGTCAAAACCCTGCTAAATTACAGCACTCATCTTTTCCATGTTTCAATATTTCATGATGTCATTTGACACTTTAAACTTGTATGTAAATTCTGAATTCAAAAATTGAAAAAAAAGACAGAACTGTCAAAACCTGTCATTTGTTTTAGAAGAAAAAAATACTTTAATTTGATTCTTTTCTGTTTCAAGGTAGTTTATTTTATTAGTAATGAAATATTAAACAAAGTTTGGGTATGTCACATTTTGACAACTGTCATAGTCAAAATGTGACATGCATGAACTTTGTTCAATGTTTTATCACTAATAAACAACCTTGAAACAAAAATGAACTAGATTAGAGTATTTTTTTCTACTAAAACAAATGACAGGTTTTGACAGTTCTGTCATTTTTTTTTCCAATTTTTGAATTCAGAATTCACATACAAGTTTAAAATGTCAAATGACATCATAAAATATTGAAAACGGGAAAAGATGAGTTCTGCTGTTTGGCAGGGTTTTGACAGGTGTCAAAATCGTTGACATTTTTCGACTTAACATGGTCGACTTAGTAGACATCGATACTTCGTTCATCAAAATCTGCCATAGTCACTCTGCTTTTGGATATAAGTTTCCAATATTTGGCAGCTAACCACGCCTCACCTGTCATATATGCGTGCAAAGGGTAAAAAATAGTGCTTACGGCATCCCCAACAACATATTTAAATTTCATCCAAATATCACGGGTAACCAATTTCCATTTAAATATTGCGGGGTCCTTTTATTCTCATATTTCTCGAGGAGCTCTACTCCTTGGCTCGAGGATCGGCCCACAGGAGAGTTATGCCCGTATTCCTTCCACACAGTTTCACTCACTTGTCGCACTTTAGATATTCTATTATTTCTATTCTGCCCAATACAAGCTAAAATTGATGGATTTTTTTTTCAAAAACATTTGTAATAGGCGACAAATTCAAATTTTCAATGTAATTTATTCAGTAACTTTTGTTTTTAATGTTGACAGTACCCTAGTAATTTTTTTTTTCTACTTTTGGCAACTACGTTCGCGTACCGCAATATGGCGTCCAAACAAAAGGTCAATTATTTTTTATCGCGAATGACAGTTCGATGGCTATCAGTCAGCCAGTTTTACCAACCTCCGATAAGTAAAAAAGGAGTGTCACAAAGAGCTTCTTTTCGAAACTACTTTTAGTGTCGATATGACACCAAAATAGAAAAAAAAATTTACCGCACTGATATGTCAAAAAAAAAAAAGAAAAATTTTACATTTTTTCGCCTGTAGGAAAAATATTGTAGGTACCTAACACTTGCGGAATAGTACATTAAAATACAAGTTTCATAAGACGTCATTTTATCACACGAGCCCTATATTAGAAAACGAGCCGGAGGCGAGTTTTCTAAAGGGCGAGTGCGATAAAATGTCTTATGAAACGAATATTTTATACTATTTTTTCTATTTTGGTATTGTTTAATTAAGAAAAGCAAATTTTTCTTGAACATTTTATTCTCATATTTTCCGATTTCATATGTTTAGGTTGGTAACACTACTTGCCAAATATAGAAATCTTCTATTATAAAATCGCGAATGACAGTTCGATGGCCATCAGTCAGCCAGCATTACCAACCTTCGATAAGTAAAAAAGGAGTGTCACAAAAAGCTTCTTTTCGAAACTACTTTTAGTGTCGAAAAGACTTCAATATGACACCAAAATAGAAAAAATATTTTTTCTATTTTGGTGTCATATCGACACTAAAAGTAGTTTCGAAAAGAAGCTCTTTGTGACATTTCCTTTTTACTCTTCGGAGGTTGGTTA